TATATTAGTGCTTTCTAAGTCCAACTACGACATTAATTACTTTGGATTTAGACTTTGTCTTCTGTGAAAATTGTAATAGGAGTTCAATATCATTATCAGAACACAAAGATTGAAATCTTTCATAAGGAGTCAACTATAAATTATTTTGGATTCTCAACTACTTGCAATAGGAGGAATACAATGTATGGATTGGTTATACCAGTGAGCTGAGAAGCCGAACAAAAAAAACCAAACTCACTGCTGTCAACTCAGGTCAGACTCAGAGTGACTGCTCCTTGGGTTTCTGAGGTGATATCACTGCAGAAGTAGATTGCCCAATCTTCCTTCTGAGGAGTGGGTGGTGGGTTTGAACTGCCAGCCTTTTGATTAGTAGTCAAATGCCTTATTCCAAACAGTGGAATATAAATTAACCCTGGGATTAGAAACAACAGTGAGCTACTAAGGCCCTTGGACTGGAGAAGCAAAAGAAATAAAGGGACTAAAAATAAAGGGACTAAGATAAACCATAGGAAGCAAGGACTATAGGTGGTCAGCCACTGGAACTGGAGCATAAGGAGAGATGTCACCCCTGCTGAAGGAGCCTCTCACAGCACAGAGGGAAACAGAAATACCCTGAACTCCCCATTCTCTTTCACACATGCATTTTATGCCTAGTCTCTTGTCATATCTCCATTTAGTAGCCAATGAATATGAGAATCTAGGAAAACAGCCTTTAAGAGTCAGTCCTCCTGCAATACAGAACAAAGTTGGAAAAGGAAAATGAGTATACTGAGAGCAAACTCACAACCAGTCCATCTGGCCAACTCTTTACCAACTCTTTACCTTATTTTGGCACTACATTTGGAAGAATAGGTTATACAAGGAGGAGTCTGAAAAATATTTTGCAACAGTTATTTCTACATATTTACTACCATGTATCCCATTAGGAAATATTTTTATACCTGCATCTCCAATATATTAATTTTTAATATTAAAATTATATGCACATATTACTTTATACTTATATTTATATCCTTTGTAGAAACAAAGAAACTGAAATAGAAGTTTTAAGAGCTTCAAAATAAATGTACATAAAATTTCTAGTATGTCCTTCCTGCACTCCAATCGGTCATTTTAAACATCAACTATTTTAGAGACGATGATACATATCATTGTTGTTTCCTTAAAAAGTGACAATAATTCTGTTTTAGAGAGTATCTACTTTGTGATATGATTTAACCATTTCTAAAAAGAGTTAAGGTATTTACATTCACTTCCTTTAATATTGGATATCAGAGTGCACTTCAATTCCATCATTTCTTCTTTCCAAGAAGTCTATAGGACAGTTTTTTGATCCTCAGTAACTGTTTCAACTTCTTGCATGTATACACAGATATGTGCATGTCTGTACCCATATGTACAACACATAGAAGTTTGGTAAGAAAAAAATTTGAAACAAATTAATTAAAAAAATAAATTTACTGAGAAGCTATGAAAACAGTAGCAAGTGGATGAATGACCTTACATTTCTTTGCAAGTTTATTATGAAAAACACCAAAGACTGTTCTTGAAATTTCAACAGTTCCTGTTCTGGACACATTTGTAGCAAAATATGCATGTGTGCATGGTCCTGCATATGTCTTTTTAGAAAATGATCTAAGAAAGTTTGTCTTCCAGTAGAAACAGAAGCTCAAGCCTCTGTGGTTCTCTCTCTAGAGACCTGTCTTCCTCTCTAATATAACAATGGTAAATTGTCTGGGAAGAAGAGCTCCAGAGACATGTGCTGAGTAAATAAAATAAACACTGAAGACAGTTTCAATAAAGAGATTGCAGGAGAGAGTGGCTAGCATGTTGTCCACACCAGATTCCTTCATTTCTGGTCCTGGAACTGTGACCAGATTGAATCTTCATCAACACCACCAATGTCTCCTACAGCTGGACTGTCATTCTTTCTGGAAGGCACTACACCACCAGAACTCCTTTCTAGAAGGTAGTCTTCCTTTTTCATGTTATTGAAAAAAATAAAGAAAATGTTGCTTCAATATTTGAGGAAATCCAGAGCTGGTTCCCTTTTTTTACTGAACAGAAGCTTCTTTTTTTTGTATAACCCAATATTTACTATAGTCATATGCACTGCTGTCAAGTTGGATGGGACTCATAGTGACCGCTCTTTGGGTTCCCGAAGCAATATCACTACAGAGGTAGATTGCCCAACCTTCCTTCCGAGGATTGGCTGGTGGGTTTGAACCGCCAGCCTTCTGGTTAGCAGTCAATTGCCTTAGGCATAGTCATGAAAAATTGACTACCTACTCTTTACAAACATAAATCCCCTTATCCTCATCTTGATTAAAAAAGGAGGGTGAAAGGGAAAGGAAGAGTGGAGTCTTCCTGGAAAACACTTATTCTTCTTGAACAAATAAATTCATGTACAAAGAACCCTGACAATGCAGAACCAGTAATACAATGAAAAATGAGGCCATTTGCCCATTGTCTTTTTCTCAGTAGAAATCTAATCCTTTAACAGCACAGTTCTTTCTCCTTTTACTGGATAGTAGATGGACTTTAAGGTAAATGTCAATACCAGTGCAGTATAGCATTAAACGTGTTTGCTTGGTCTGTTAAACAAGTAGTTAAACAATGTGGCCACTTGTGTGTTTCCTTCAGTTGATATAATTCTGAACACAGGATTATTCCACTCAGAACATTTAATCTTAGAAAAATTTTGGAATATAATTCATCATCACCTTGGATTTCAAAGAAAATGTGCTACATGATCTGTTTAAACTGGATCGTGCAATAATTGATGAATATCAGGCTTAAGTTTTTGTTTGATGTTTTCTAGTTAGGATATATGAGGAAAAAGCTATTTATTTATTTATTTATTTATTTTCAAAAGAGGTTGTTTAGATTTGGTTCCCACTGGTAATCAGCCTCCTCTGGTCATTTATAGCACCTCAAATTGACTGCTCAGGAATATAGATTTCCATAGTTTTATTTCTTATATCAAGAAAGACCAATCCCTGGAGAAAGTAATCATGCTTGGTAAAGTAGATATCAGCAAAAAAGAAGAAAACCTGCAACAAGAGTATTGACACAGTGGTTGCAACAATGGGTTTAAGCACAGCAACAGTTGTAAGGATGGCATAGGATAAGACAGTGTTTCATTTTGTTGTACATGAGGTTACTATGAGGTGAAAGTGACTCAACAGCAATAATAACAAAAACATATTTCTTAAACTTTGCAAATTAATAGTTCAAACTACATTTTCAAATCCTACACAATTTATGCTATAAAAGATTGTTTTGGGTGAGTGAATTTATGTAGTCTTGTAATAAAAGCATCCTAAAGCACATGGACCCTGGATGCCATGAAGGGTGGGGAAAGGGTGGGGGATATAACTTTCTGAGTGAGGACTGTGAATTTGACACTTTCAGAGAGCAACATTTATAAAGACCAACAACTCAAATAACAGCAGTTTCTCTTAACCCTATTACCATCTACCATTAGTAAATGTTTGCTTTATAGGAAAGCAATGAATATTTATATATATATATTTTGGTTTCTCTTTATAAGTTCATTGTACCTAGCTTCTTTGAGTCATTATTTTTTTTAATCAAAGTGATCTCCCTATAATTGTGTAAATATTCAGAATAAATCTTGTATTTCAGTTTCATAGAGTTTTGATTATTTTTAGCATATCTATTGTTTATTATGGGAGCTCTGGTAGCATAGTGCCTAAGGCACTTGACTGCTAACCAGAAGGCTGGAAGTTCAAACCCATCAGCCACTCCTTGGAAGGAAGATGGGGCAATCTACTTCTGTAGTGATACTGCCTCAGAAACCCAAGGAGAGGTCGCTATGAGTCAGGTCTGACTCAACGGCACATAACAACAACAACAACAACAACAACAACAACATTGTTTATTATAAGGCAATCTGGTGGCACAGTGCCTAAAGCATTTGACCATTAACAGACAATTGGCAGTTCAAACACACCAGGCCCTACGGTGGAAGGAAGATGGGTCAGTACTTCTGAAAGATTTACCACATTGGAAACGCTTTGGGAATTGCTATGAGTTGGAAATGACTCAATGACAGTGATTTATTTTTGTTGTTGCTGTTGCTGTTGGTGTTATTGTTATTGTCTATTATGCATCTATATTCACGGTAATTATTTCATTTTCACTTTGTCTTTCCACAACATGTACATTGTTGGTCTCTTTCCTTTTCACACAGTTTGGTATATAACTTAATTCAGTTTTACGATATGATTCTAATGTTCATTTTATATTTATACATTTTCTTTCAATGCATGTGATATTTTCATGGCTTTATGCATTTATCTCTCCATATAACAGATCAACTTATCATATTCTTGCATTATTTTATCTGTTATTTCTCTTTATATTTATAGTCTCCAAAGGTTAACTTTTAATCAAGGTTTGCTATTTTCCCATTAGTTATGTTACCCAGTTTTCTTCCCACAGGAATAAAATAGGAATGACCAAGATAGACAATTCACAATTAAGAAGCCATGAAAGAAATGCTAGCAATCCAGCAGAGTTTATTTTACTTGGCTTTTCTGACCAACCACAGCTAGAGTTGGTTCTCCTCCTGGTTATTTCTGTCATATACATTCTGACACTGATGGGGAACACAGCCATCATTGCTGTTGTTGTTGTTATGTGCCATCGAGTTGGCCCCGACTCATAGCAACCCCTCCTTGGGTTTCCGAGGCAGTATCACTACGGAAGTAGGATTGCCC